GCTTTTCCCCAAGATGAAGGGGGCCGCCGAGAGGGGGAGGAGGTTTCAGAGGGGGAGGGGGTAGGGGTCGGTTTTAGGGCAGGAAGTGAGGTGGTGGTGGCATGCGTGCCTGTGAATGTGTATTGGCAAGGCGATGGTCGGCAAGAACGGGAGCAAGAAGAGCACTTTGAACCGGGCAAGGCCATCTGGGAACATAGTGAGTGGAAATCGTGCGATGCATGTTTAAAAAGAAGACAAAACGCGAATTTGGAGACCAAGCGGTGCTTGATGGCTCAAAGGTACCTGCCGAGCAGGATTCTGAGGCTGGTAGCAGTGTATGTGCATTTTACCTTTTCGATGTGTTCTTTGCCCTTTCATGGACATTTGACTTCGCCGAGATGGAAGGTCTGTACAATACTCTGGGAAGTCCAAGCCAGGTAACCCGGGGCGAACTACTGGCCCCCCTTCGTCTCCAAGCCTGCAGAGCACTCCGCCGTCCCTTCATCCTTACACCCCGTCGCTCTTGTCCGACCACCGCCACGCGTTTCAAGAGCTGTTTTTCGTCGGCGACAGCTCATAAGAAGGAAAAAAGCGGAGGAAGCTCGAGCCAATCAAAAAGCTGCTCTTATCTTGTGTGACTTCGGAAGGCGAGTGGTAACCATCATGGCAGCTAAGAAAGAGTTGAGCAGACGGGTAAGTACTTCGGCCGGATAATTCTTCTCTCTTAGATAAACTTACATAGTTTCCTTCGCCTTTTCTTTAAAAAAATGAATTTGGAAGAGGCATGTTCTACGGTGTGAAGCAGCAGTCAAAGCAATCAGCACTTGGTGGAGAAAACTTTTGGCAATCCTCCATGCAAGGCGTTTGCGGAAAATATTACTAGCAGAAAGACAAAATCGCCAGGCCCAGTGTAGATTGAATATAGCACTATTTTGTCAATCGCATTTTAGGGGACGGCGGGTACGAAGGTTTGTTGCATTACTCAGACGTCAAGAAATGGAGAGGGCAATAGAAGCGGCAAAATTGGCCGCTGCTCTTGAAGAGGAAAGGGAGCGCCGACAGCGAAAACGAGGAGAGTTACACGGACGGCCATTCCGATAAGCTGAATTGAATAGAGAAATGTTTTAATTTTCTGTATCCATGTAAAAGTAAAAATTAAGGTAGCGGAACAAGCTCGCCAGTGATACTCACCGATACGCGGGAGAATGCGATCGGACGGCTTTCAATGTGCCTTGAAGCAAACATAGTTGCACCGTGCCTCCAACGATTCTTGATTGACTTTTTTTTCTTTCTGCGCTGTGCTTTACCGATTGCCATCGTCGAATCGGTTTGCGTCTTGATCTCATCAATTGGTTCATGTATCTTCAACCGAGCAACCTCCCACCATCCTTTTTTTCCCCTCTCCCACACAGCTCTCGTACCCGCTCCAATTGCTTATCTGCTGCGTTGCCAAAGTCATGTGCCATGGCTGTAAATGTCTCATTGGACCCTCTATGTTGGCCAGTGACCTGTCATGCATGGCTGACGAGGCAAAAAAGGTGATAGCGGGCGGGGCGGACTACTTGCACTTGGACGTGATGGATGGCCACTTCGTACCGAACATAACCTGGGGCCCCCCTGTCATCAAGCACTTGCGAAAACACTGTTCAGACATATTCTTTGACTGCCATATGATGGTGAGCAACCCGGAGCAATGGGTTCAAGAGATCAAGGATGCTGGTGGGGACCAGTACACATTTCATTTGGAAGCCGCTCGAGATCCTGCCGGCCTAATCGAGCAAATCAAGGCCACAGGAATGAGAGTGGGCATGGCCCTGCGACCAGGCACACCAATCGAGGATGCGCTCCCATGGGTGGATTCTGTGGATGTGGTGTTGGTTATGACCGTAGAACCGGGTTTTGGGGGGCAAAAGTTTATGGCGGACATGATGCCGAAAGTGGCGTATTTGCGGGCCAAGTGCCCAGAAAAGGACATTGAAGTAGATGGAGGCCTCGGCCCTGCGACTGTCGATGCCGCTGCCCGAGCAGGGGCAAACATGATAGTGGCGGGTAGTTCGGTGTTCAACAGTGAAGTTCCTGCGAAAGTCATCGCGGCTTTACGGCGAAGCGTAGAAAAACTTGGAAATGGAAAGAGCGAGGAGGAGCTGACTCAGCTCCCATCCTAACAAAGCATTTTAAATGGAAGAGGGACAGCTATAGAAGAAAAATCACAGACATACAGGACATTCTTTTCACGTCTCGTCATCTTCTGTGAGTTGTTTTTGTACTTTACTCCGTCTCCCTTCCCGTTCTTCCCTCTTTTTTTCACATGGCTGCCTCGAGGCCTCAAAATAGCATGCAAAAGATTCCAAGTCATGATATCTCCAGCTGCAAATTCAATGCTTGTTCCTCTTGCCAGAGGCCTTCTTGGCCTCTTTCATGCTTGTCGCCTCCTTCCTTTTCTCTTCCTCGAGCGCGCTTCCCTTTTTATTTTTCTTCTTCTTCTTTTCTGCCCGATCTGCAAATGCGATGTCTTTCCCCGCCGCTTCGGTGGAGGGCCTTTCAGTTGACTTGGCTTTGCTCAGAGATTTCTTCCTCTCTGCAACCTCGACGCGATCGACGGCCTTTGCGCTTTTGTTATTTCCTCCTGACCTGCTCTTCCTTCTCTTCTGCTCCCTTTGCTCTTCTGTATCGCTCCCCCCCTCTCCCTTCATGGCAAAAGCCCCCTTCTTCGCCGCTGTCACCACGTCATGTTTTTGCCTTCCATACGCGCCCCCCCCGACCGCTTTTTCTGCGTTTCGGTAGTGCACCACTCCATCCTCCACGTGCAGCAAGTCGTGGGTGTCCACAGCACGGTGAAATGCATGCTTTAACGCCTTCTTACTCTGCGTCCCTGCAACACTTCCCTTGGCGGTTCGGGAGCTGGTCCTTTCCAATGCCAGGGCGACAACCTGCTTTCTCAGCTGCCTCAAGGGAACTTTTTCCTCCGCCGCCTTCAGAGCCCTCTTGATATGTTTGTGCCAGGAAAACTTGATGTCTCCCGCCACCGTCGCATCGCCTGCCTGAGGATTCTGAAGCGCCTCCCAACTCGCGGCCTCCTCCAGTCTCTGCCGTCGCCGCTTCCTGGGAGGTTCTCCTCCCTCTTGCTTCTCAGACGCTGTTAATAAAATGTCTTTCCGTTTTTTGCTTGCATCTTCCCCTTTTGATCTCTTCTCTTTCTTCCTCTTCTCCTTCTTGATGTAGCCACGCACAGGCAAGCTGCTTTCTCCTTCGCTTTCTGGCTTCACCTCTGCAATATCGTCATCCCCCCACTTCTTGTATCCACCATGACCCGCTCGCACAAAATAGGCGTACAGACCATTTTTAGGCAAACCATCGTCTGTCTTTTTGGGCCCAAAGCCTGAATTGAAACCCAAGCCACCCGTCTTTGTTTTGTAATAAGAAATTGCACAACGTGAATATCAAGAGCTGAAGTTGCCACGAATGGTCTGACTGAAGAGAGGGTGTTGTTCCTTAACAACATGCATGTCCCTACCTTGCCCCGAGGTCGTAGCTTGTCCAATGTATCGTGAAGGCGCTGCATCCTGTCGTCCTCCATGGCTGTCTAGTAGGAAGATCCTCGCGGCCACCAAGGACCAAAACCTAGGCCTTCAATCTGAAAAGCGACAGAAATGAAACAGAATCAATATTTTCATATGTGACGCGCATGTACATGGCGCCATATCAACGCCAGCCGCGGGGAAGAAGACGACGCGCATGCGATCAAGGCAAGCCAAGGTGTTCAGTGGAGGGGAGGAGGTCGAAGGCGTCGTTCTTCTCTTTTTGTCATTGTGCTGCTTTTTGCCGCCGAATCAAGCACAGACACTGACCATTTTCTTTTTCCAATGAGTTACTGGTTCACCGCGCTGTACTTTAAATTTCGTTCGTCCGTGCATGTGGTGGACACAGTTACGGGGTTGCGCGGGGACGGCTGGCTTGATGCTTGACGTAGCCCCTCGCTTCGCATTCTTGTTTGACCACAGTTGACGACACCTATCGTCATTTTCCTAACGTTCAAACCACCCCAAGGGTTTGTAAAGAGATGCGACCGCCTATGCACCGTGGTGGTGGCCGTGGCCCTCCAGGACGAGGCGGCGGCTTCCGAGGAGGTCGAGGTAAGCAACCCAGGAGGATATCCTTTTAATGCGGAAGAGTCCTCGATAACTGCCCTGCTGCGTTTTAAAAAACCAACTCGAAATCAACATCGATACAGGAGGAGGTGGACGATTTGGTTCTGGCCGTGGATACGACGAAGGCCCTCCCGAGCAGGTTGTGGAGGCAGGGGCGTTCGTCCATGAGGTCGAGGGAGAGATGCTGATCAAACTGACGAACGAGAACATCCCTTATTTCAATGCGGGCATTTTCCTGGAGAACAAAACCCGCGTAGGAAAAGTAGAAGAGGTGCTAGGACCCATCAATCAGGTATATTTTACGGTGAAGCCCGATACGGGCGTATCAGCCAAGTCCTTTAAGGCCGAGGACAAGCTTTACATTGGCACGGACAAACTCCTCCCTCTGTCGCGCTTTACCGGTGGGGGCGGTGGAGGAGGCGGAAGAGGACGAGGTGGAGGGCGGGGGGGAGG